GTAGTCTTCTTAGCTTGATTGAGAGACATCGCTTATTACTTTAGTTTTTCTTTACTTCTGACTACTACAGACTTTCTATCAACGTTATGGTTCTTTGCTTTAAACTTTCTTAAACATGCGGATATTAGCGGGCCATAAATGTTATTCGATCAATCGGATATTTTAAAGTATCATGCAAAATATAGATGCTTCTATAAAATTGATTTTCTATCAGAAACTTTGACACATGAAAAATCCCCTCTGTTTGACTTCGGCATAATCTCTTATTACACAATAAAGAGAAGTTCTTATTACATTCCTTTTCTCTGAAGCTTATGCTTTTTAATTTACCTCGATTGATCTTCTGATTCTTTTTAGAAACCAGTTACTCCTCAACCACCAATGGTAATTGAGGAAAACGATATTAAAATCTACGTGGATTGGACCTTCATTTGCTCATCGAATTCTATGGAACAATCTTTGGCTTTAGTTGTTGGTTTATATTGTTTGATGAATCTTACGTTTCCAACGTATCGTACTGTTGTTAGATTTTTATATGTTTATTTCATGAATGATAAGCAACAACAATCAAATGTCATTCGAAAATTTTGTAAAGTATACAACATTCAACTTCAAGATAATCCTTCATCATCAAATGCTGCATTACTGGAAGAAACAAAAATTAATGATACGTATTTAAATGATAGACGTGAAAACAATGAAGAACAAAATATATCTTTTGAACTTCAAACGACAACATCAATTCAACCAACATCGATGGAATCAACATCACATGAATCAACATCAATTGATTCAATATCAACTGAGTCAATATCAACAGAATCAATATCAATGGAACCAATATCAATAGAATCAACGTCAACAGAATCAACATCAATGGAACCAATACCAACTGAACCAAAACGAATTGAACCAACAACATGTGAAAAACCAACAGCATTTCAACAACAATCAAATCGTAAACGCAAAGCAGAAGAAAAACATGATTATGAGCAACTGTCTCTGGAGATTGATGCATCGAAACAAAAAATAACGAGAAATCTCCGACCAAAACGACACAGACAATAAGGACACATTCACAATGGCAACAAAAACTGTTTTATATGTCTCACTATTTCTTCTCTCATCATAAAAGAACTAGCGTTTTTTGTTTTTCTTATAAGAGAAGGAATTCATTTATTCGTTCGTCGGCTTTTTTAAAGTATTACTTTCTCGAGACAATTCGTCAAATAAGAGACATATAAGCCATCGAAATTTATTCTCTTTCGTATTGCTCAACATTTTCTGAAAATATTTTTGATTGCTATAATAAATTTCCACTTCTTTGTGATAGACACTTGAAAATTTTATTGTTAGCAAACCCGAAATTTTGATAGTTAGAATAGATACTTCAAAAAATTTTCATTCAAAATTGAACATTGAAACATAAAAATAATACATGGTTCAACAAATCACGTACTTTCACACGGTGAGTGCGTTTTTTTCCAGACTATCGAATATTCATTTTTTTTTCTTTTAGGTTGATCAAAATCGAAGTTCAGTTGCAAATCTTTATACATTTTGATATATGTATATTTCATGCATTCTGGTGAATCACAATCGAACAATTGAACTGTAAGTATATATGCAATATATAATATTTTATTTCTTTAGGTGCTCAGAGATTTAAGCCTAACCTTTTCCCGAATATTCTAGATTTAAATTCTATTTATTTAGGTGGATCCAGATCGAAGGGTAGACTTTTCTTCTCCTACTGCACTTTCATATTTTTCTATTTACGATGATCGTAATCGGACTGTAAATTTTTCTATATATTGATATACGTCTATCTTATTTGTTTTTGAGTATCCAAAAACGAGATTTAAATGTAAGTCTTTATAGATTATCGAAAATTGATATTTTATATATTTAGGTGGATCGAGAGTGCGCGTTAACTTTTTCTCTATTATTGTATATTTGAATCTTTTTCTTTTTAACCCAATCTAAAGCAAAACTATATAGGTTGTCGAATCCTGATTTTTTTATTTATTTAGACAGATCGGAATCTAGCTGTAAGTTTTTTTTGAGATTATCCTATATATATATATGTTGTATTTCTTTAGATGGATCAAATTTGAAATGTGAACGTAAATCTTTATACAGTTTGGTATCAATTCATTTTACGTATCTAGATAGGAACCTAAATCCAAACTAAACTGTAAGTTTTTTCTTTAGATTTCGGTATATTGATGTAGTTTTTATTTAGATCGATCGAATTCGAAATGTACATGTAAATCTTTAAACAATTTGGTACATGTCCATTTGCTTATTGACATGGATCGACATCGAAGGGCAAGTTCTTTTTCTGATTATCGTATGTTTCAATTTTATTTAATTAGGCGGATTCAGATTGAACTTTAATTTTTTTTCTGTTATTGTACATTTCGATCTTTTTTTTAAGCCCGATACAAATTGAAATTGAATTCAAAGTATATATAGGTCGTCGAATATTGACGTTTTCGACAGATCAGAATCAAGCTGTAAGTTTTTTTTTTTGAGATTATCCTATATATATATACATGGCATTTCTTTAGATGGGTCGAATTCGAAATGTACATGTAAATCGTTAAACAATTTGATACATGTGTATGTGCTTATTTACGTGGATCGATATTAAAGGGTAAGTTTTTTTCCGATTATCGTTTCTTTCAATTTTATTCATTTACGTGGATTTAGATTGTACTACCATTTTTTTTTCTTGTTATTGTATATTTGAGTCTTTTTATTTTTAACCCGGTATAAATTGAAATTGAATTGTAAGTCTATACAGATTGTCCAATATTGATGTTTTATTTATTTAGGTGGATCAAAATCGAACTGTAAGTTTTTTTTGAGACTATTAGATATATATATATTCTATTTCTTTACATAGGCCGAGTTCGAAATGCAAATGTAAATCTTTAT